AAATTGTAAGGGTTTTTAGAAACGGGAAGTTTACATAGCCCGTTTAATTAGTAAAGAATCGAGGAAGAAATTAAGAAGTAATAGTGAATGTCACGTAGTAGTTATAGTTATCTAAAATGTATTTAAAGCCCGAGTTTTGTCTTTAATAAAGTTTTCTCAGACTTCGATGTCTTTAATGAAGTGAAAAAAGAATCGACTTCTCATTGTTATTAAAAGAATTATTTGAACGTTGAACCTTTTTATTTTTATTTATTCATTATTTTTTATCTATTTTTATTTAATTTTCGTATTGTTACGTGCTACCCTAAAAGTTAGTTCTAAACATTATCTAATCCATAACCTATCTTAGACAATTCCCATTGTTAAACCCAGATAACAGTATTATCATAAGGTTATCCCCCGATTTCTTAGTGTAGACCTGTCCCATTGTTTCCAAATCGTAGTTATAACTATACGCCCTACCTAAGTCACCCTTTTTAGTTATCCTTAAATTACGTGCATAATCCGAATCAGGACCAAATTAGTAAGAACCTGATCCCGATCTACCTAATTCGAGGCCCCAACTCACGTGCACAAAGCTACAAGGAATAACACTTATAAACCCTCAAGTTTACTATTGGAGCTAAATTGCTTCGTATCTTATTGCCGCTCTCCCAAAAACAATAGTAACATTAGCCACGTAGTGTAGTTATCAGAATGGTAAGTTTTGTAACAGGATATTTTACAGCAATTTCAATGCAATCTAATTTAACCACATTCTGTAGTCCGAGTAAGTTCACTAAAGAATTTTTTACAAGAATTCACAGTAGAAATCACAATAGTTCCAACATCCTCCAACCTGTAACAGAATTTTTAACGATAACACACAATACATCGGAATAGAGAATGAGCGCTGTAAAAGAATTTTTTATAGTAGCTTAAAATAATTTTTAATGCAAACAAACTCAACCTTAACAAATACGACTTGATGTACTTGCAATTGCTAAACGTACACTATTCCACAAGTATACCTGGTCATGTAAAAATATAATCTGGTAGAATGTCTAACTGTCAGTTTGATTTTCCACGAGAGCTAGTCGAAGCGCCCTGAAAGATTTATCCTGAACTTGGGATTATTACCCTTCAATGCCAAAACGCCTATATTAATAACCATAACCCGTACGTAACTTCTAGCTGTTGAGGAAACAATGATATCAGATTCATTGCGACCACAAAGTTGGCCTTGGCATACATTCACTACATAACAGACTATATTACAAAGTCTGATTCAAGTACTCACAATTCATTTTTAATGTGCACAATGACACTAAACAAATTTCTCGTAAATGAAGTATCTGGAAAATTTATTGAAAGATCACGATGTCTTGTTACCTTGTGCCTCAATAAAATTGCAGGACGCGCAGAATTAACTGGACCTCAAATAGAAATATATCTTTTAAATTTAGGCGATCACTATATGCTGAACAAATTTGTTTCAATTTACCTAGATACTTTTGAAATGTATTTAACTAAAAAGATTTGCAATGGAGAAAACCTGCCAGAAATAGAGACTTCAGATGATTTTGATAGGATAATGATACCAAAAATGATGAACCAGAACAAGATTCTAATAATCATTATAACATAAACGATAAAATATTCAAGATAGAAAATTCTAGTAAAAAAATGACAGCAGTAAATTTAAGAATTGACTACGTATACCGCGGTGAACAACTAAAGAACATGTGCCTTTATGATTATGCCGCAACTATACATAAAATAAAAATTAATAAAAAAGAAATAGATAAGTTAGATAGCAAAAAAACTGTGAAGGGCAAACAACAAGAGCTGACCAATTTTACTTTTTAGATAGAAATTGAGAATATGACGAAAAGCATAATGAAAGAGATAAGTACCCACAGTATTCGACTCATATGCAAGTTCACTGGACCCAAGGAAATAAAAGGGTACCTATATTCTGCGGAAAAGGTATTCCATGCAAAGATGAATCTGAAAATGCTGAACAGTACGGACTCTGCGTACTAATGCTTTTTAAACCATGGACCACATCAGATGAACTGCTAGGAGAGTGTAATGTGTGGCATGAAGCATGTGAAAGTTTTTTACAAAGTCCAAATCTGACTTCGCGATTGCAAACAATTATAAATAATATCGAACTTTTACATAAATGTAAAGAGAAAACAATTTTAGACAAACAGTTACGTCAGAAAAATTCAGAAATATTAAAACTATGACGTATAGAAAGATCAGTAGTAGGATTTGACACTATGACAGATGATATTGAAATGCTAGATAAACAGGAGAATTCTAATGTTGAAGACGAATTAACTTTAGATCCAAATGCGATAATACGCTCTGGATTCCGTAATTCAAAATTAGTTAACGAAGCGATATTACATTTGCATCTTAAGGGCAAATTTAAAATAAGTAATGAAAAATTATAAAATAACATTAATATTCTTAACAATAACAATAAAAAAAAACAATTTAGACCCACTTGTGAAAATGATACTGAATTGATACAAAAATGGAAGAAAATCATAACAACACGAAAAAGGACAGAACAAATAAATAAAGATTTAAATGATAACTATACACAGGAATTTATATACACTTCTGAACGAACAAATTATACAACATTTCAACAAAAAAAAAAATAAATAAAACCAATCTATTACAGAAAATTTCAAGTGATCTTAATAATGAACAAAAAAAAATTTTTTTGCTAGTATGTGATCACTGTCAATGCAACTATTCAAATAACCCTAATAAACCATCACACTATTAATTCATCTAGGAGGTGCTGGAAAACTAAAGTAATTAAAGCAATATATAAATACTTTGAACTAATAGGACAAAAAGAAACACTCACAATTTGTGCATTAACATAATTTGCTATGTCAGGAATCAGTGGTTATACCCTATATTCAATGTGCGGTTTAAAATTTGAAGACGAAGATTACAAATATTAAACTACTAAAGAAAAATCGGCAAAATTGCTTCAAGACCAATGGGCAAAAATAGAGTACCTAATTTTAGATGAAATTTCTATGATAGGTCAAAAACTTCTAACACAATTTTATGCCTGTGTTAAAGAAGCAAAACCTGACCAGAATGATACTTTACTGTTTGTGGGTTTGAATATAATTTTCTCTGGAGACTTTATGCAACTCCCACCAGTACTAGATTCACCGTTATATCGTCCTGCCAAGATAGAAAAAATAATATTTACAAAAACAACAAAACCAGTACAGACGCAAATTTTGAAATCTATTAATACTCAAATGGTGATCAATACCAATGGCAGAGAATTATGGCTAACAGTAAAACATGCTATAATCTTAAAAAAGCAAATGCAACAAGTAAATAATCAAGTATATGCCTCGATATTAGATAACTTATGAAATGGCCAATTAACAACAACTCAATGTAATACTCTTTATAAACGCATAATAACGGAAAATGAAATGAATTCACCTGAATGGGAAACTGCTGTATTTTAGTACGTAGAAATAATCTATGAATACAAATAAACCTAAGGGCCACTATAAAATATGCAAAATTCCATGATCAACTGACCTATTATATATGCGCTAAAGACACCTATAAAAATAAACCACTCTGTAATAGTATACGACAAAAATTTCTAAGTATATCAGATACGAGGTCAAATACACTATGTGGAATATTACCACTATCAATTGGTATAAAACTAGCTTTAACAGTAAATATTTGCATATGTGATGGTATGGCTAATAGTGCTCAGAGCATTCTTCATGAAATAGTATATAATGACGAGAGTATAATAACACAGAATATAAACATTAATAAAGAAAAAAGTATCATTATCAACAGACCTCCAAAGTATATTGTAATTGAACTTATAAATCATACACTAGGTGTATACGATAATCTTCTGACAAATCATATTCCAATATATTCTATCAAACAACAATGCAAATATATGCATAAAATAGAAAATGGCTCAAACATAACAAGAGAATTTCAAAGAACTTAGTTACCTGTTACCCCTGCTTTCGCATTTACAGAATAAAATACCAAGATGCAACTTTAGAGAAAGCAATCATTGATCTAACCGATGGTAACATAAAATCAGGTGTTTATGTAATGCTATCACGTGTATGAAAATTGCAAGACATTATGATACTTCGACTCTTTAATCGATTGAAACTTGAAACAACCATCGAACGTGATCTCAAAAAAGAACTTGAACATCTTGAAGAATACTTTGAAAAACTAAACGATTGAATGAATGGCCTTCAATTTAACATTATAAAGTATAACACAATAGATCTAAAAAAACAAATATAACTTCAGTAATTCTCAATTAAAAACTATAATATCATATTACATTTCTTCTCATTTTGGATAATTACTAAAATAACTCTATCAATATGACCACATTGCGACATCACAACTTTTAATTTACTATATCAATATTATATCGCACAGATTTACACGTTACTATATAATATGTAACTATTTACACATCTAGTAATCAACCACTTAACACATATACTATAGAATATTAAATGAACATTATAAAAATAAATAATTTCCCTATATAAAACATTAGAAATAAATTAAATTTTATAATATTTCTTATAAATAACGCCAACTTAAATAGTTTATCATACTTATTATTACAATTCACAAAATAATAACATTAAGTAAAACTAATAAAATACGTACACAAAATACTACTTAAACAAATAAAAGTATTACAAACCAAAAAAACATAAAATAATTTATTTACAATTCAATAAAAAATAAGAAAAAAAATACATTACATAAAAACAATTTAAATAAAAATATAATCTTAAAAAAGCAAATTTAAAAAATAAAACCCAACATATAAAAAAAATAATCTCAATAGTAAACACTAGATATTAAAACCATAATAGACGATTCTACACACTCTCATTACAATTAACAATCTTAGACAATTCAGACTGTTTTCTAGTATTATGAACTACAGGCTAAAATATCTTTTTCTTACTTTTATTTGAACTTCTGTAACTGCACTCTGAACTATTACTACCTCCCTTATATTTGCCACTTACATCTGAATATTCTTTGTTATACTCATTCATACAACCATCATCATACTCAGTACAATCATCCTTCTCATCTTCAAGTCTTATACGTTTATCTACATGAGAATCTTCAGAAGTCAAATCAGTCACAACATCACTCGTTTCATTATCTAGATAAGAATTTTTCAACTCGTCTACTTTGGAAAGACCTTTGTTGACACTCTTATGTACATTTAAAAGTCTTAAACGAACTGTTCTATATAATGCTGGAGTACTCTCAGAAATTGATACTTTTTTCTTTGTTGTAACACTGAAATCAACATAAAAAATATCAACAGCATACACATACACCTCCTTTTCAATAACCTCCATTTGCTCTACAACAAAAAGCATGGAATCATTCAACCAAGTAGAACTTATTAAATGCTTAAACCAAGTGTTATGATACAGAAAAACAACTTGAATTGCAAAACTATAAACTTGTCCAGCATAATCATTCACTAACACATTAATCACTGCACTTTTACGATTAATCTTCTTTAGTGCGCTATGAGCGATACCAACAAGTGAAAATTTTAAAGAGTATCTATTTGAAGCAAGATCTCTCTTAATCGAAAGATGATCAAAGATGTGACAGTCATCTAAATTTAAAAAAAAATTAAAAAAGTATGATATTTATAACAAATATAACCAAATAAACAAACTTTCAATCTTAAGTTTCTATTATAAAATCCAACCATGATCTTTTCGCTAACACAATAATACTCATTCATTTCAAAAATTGACTGTGTATTAGGATCTCTCTCCTCATTGGTAGTTGGAATAAATAAAGTCATATCCAACTTATAATCCTTACTCTAGATAGGATAAACACCGACTGCACGTATAGCAAACAATTTTGAATTCTCATTACAAGTTTAACAAATCTGATTTATCTTCATGATTGTATCAGCATGACAAGGCATTATGAATCACTTAATAACAAAAAATACTTAATTTTATATAAAAAAAATAAAATAAATAAAATAAAATAACTTCCATATTTAAATACATGAACAATAAATTACATTATAATTCAAACAAAGAAAATAAATCATAATGACAAAAATAAAATCAAAACCTAACCATTACTTATTAACTAATATAATACAAATACATATAAAAATCAACCGATTAAAATAAAAATACTAACAAAAAAACTAAACTAAAATATAATAAAATAATATTGACAAAATATAAAAGACAATATAAATTACCCATAAATAAACAAAACAAACTTAACAAATAAAAAAAAACTAACAATAAAATTTACCCACGAATAAATAAAACCAAAAAACAAAATATTTACTCATGAATTCCTAATGAAAAAAAGGCAAGATCTTCATTTATATACACATTTATAAATAAATACTATAAAATTAATAACACTACAACTAAATAACAAAAACCACATGATACAAATAACCTGAACCCACAACAAATACAAAAAAAAAACATCTAAACAAACATACTAAACAATAAATAACAATTATTTAAAAAACAATTAAATTAATAAACCAAAAATCTCCCACAAAACAATTAATAATAAAAAATATTAAAATACAAACTAAACTATAATATAAAAAAAAAAAATCTCCTTACTAAAAATCGACAAATACTAACTATAAACACAAATTCACCAAATACCAATAAACTTAAAAAAAAAGTGATCGAACTAGTCCTGCGCAGCATCGCATGCTGCGTAGCTAACATAATTAAATACTACCACATCTCTATATTAGCCTTAGCTTATATAGATGACACTATATAGATTACTTAATCAAAAAAAAGAACTTGATAAAATTATTAACACTGCAATCTTTTTTTATAACATAGCCAATATTCAAATTAATCACTCTAAATCTATTCTTATATCCAAACATTTATCTGCTTCTATTTTCTTTCTTAACTTTTATTTTCTATCCATTCCAATTCATCAACCTTTTAAGTTCTTGGGCTGCTGGTTTATTTCTAATAATAAGTATATACAACAAATTAAACTTATTCAAGAAGAAGTCTTACAGTCAGCCAATATTGCTAATACCAAAACTATAACTGATAAACAGATTATCTATATTTGTAACCTTATTTTAAAAAATACTTAACTATTGCCAAATACAAATTTTACCTTTCATAATCTACCTCTAATAGTACTATATTTAATTACAATCATTACAATATTCATAGTTTATAGAATATACAGCTTTAATATTATATTAGTAATTTTCTTAACCATATTAACAATATATCTACTTTTGGTTTAACTATACATATCAGACTTCAACTACTAGAATTCTTGAACACTCTAATTTTCTAATAGATAGCTTTAATAGGCACACTATTATATTTAAAATTATACAACTTTTTAACTTTCTTAATGTTTCTATTTTTTCTAGCTCTAATCTTTCTTAACTACTAACCACATCTGGTGATAACATTTCTTTAAAAAACATTCTTTCTCATTATTCCAAATAATATACACAGATTGAATGAAGCCATATTGAGAACAGTACACCCAGATAAAAACCAAAGACATATTAGGTTTTGATATTTTTCCAGTTTTTTATTTTTAAATCAGATAAAAATCAGGCACCCAATATAACTATAAAAATACTCTAAGAATCATATAATAAACTTTAAGTAAATTGGGTTATTATTAGAAATATATTAGATAAAAATTGGGTACTCTATTTAACTTTGGAGTTAATCACCAAATCTTAAATATATCAGGTCATCATAAGAAATGTATTATATAAATATCAGGTATCTGATAGAACTTTGAAGTTAATCTGAATATAATTCGCCAAACCTTAATTACATCAGTATTATTAGGGCACTGACATTTATTATATAATATCCATTTACTATAAGGGCTACCCCCTCCCCCACGTAAGATCTATATTATTGGCCAATTTAGAAATCATATAATTTCTTTGTGTAATGTAAGATATTGATATAATACATGCTCAACCCCCCACCCCCTAAAATATTACGTAATAAATGTCAGAGCCCTTAGGTAATATATCAGTTAAAAATCAAGTACTCTGGTAGAACTTTGAATTTAATCCTCAAAACTTAATTATATCAAAATCATTAGGTAATATATTAGTTAAAAATTGGTACTCTGATAAGACTTTGATATTAATCTAAATTTAATCTACCAAATCTTAATTATATTAGTATTATTAGATAATATATTAGTTAAAAATTGGGTACCCAGTAGTGCTTTGGAATTAATCTAAATTTAATCTGCCAAACCTTAATTATATCATTAGGTAATATATCAGTTAAAAATCAAGTACTTCAGTAGAACTTTGATATTAATCTAAATTTAATCTGCCAAATTTTAATTACATCAGTATCATTAGTGTCATAACTATATGTGACTACTAATAGTAGAGCTTCCAAACTGCCGTGATTGTTGTGTCTCTGCCTAATATACCATTTAAGGGCTTTTTTGGGAAAGTATTAATTCTATTTCCTTATGTGCCCCACTATGTATATAAGAGTTGTAACTATCTATAAAATTTACATTATGTGTTTTTTACGTCCTTTTATCAACAAAAGAATTCTTTATATACTAAAATTTGACTCTAGATTAATTATATTATAATTAATCACCTAATACTATTTTTTACTTCAATTATATAATTAATTAATCATCCAATATTTATCTTTTGCATCTTGATCGATCCTTGATTGATTGGTTACACACATTAAACTATCAAACCCAAATTTTGCTATATGACATCATAAATCCCATTGCACGAGTTTCGGACTAATTTTGCTATAGAACCGCTTGTGCCCTGACAGGAACTAGACCTCACTTGACTCACGTCTCCGGAGTCAACAATATCTTCAATTGGTTCTACACTCAAAAATTAGTTTCATCAATATCTATCTCTTCATCACTCACTATCCACTGCTCTATTATCTGAGCCGAATTCTCCAAATTATATCTATCTCTTAAAGTCTCTAGTCATATATCTCATAGCTAATTTAATATAACAACCTGGTCTAAACATTCAGGTTTTGATTTATCAATAATTTTGGAAAATTACTAATTCGCAATAGTTCTTTGATTCCTGGCATACTTTTGTTTGAATCACATATCACTTTAGGCACAACTTCCTTTCATCTATCACTAATTTCACCATACCATGTGGCACTAATGAATTTTATGTTTTCCTTTTCTCTAATATCCTCAAATTCATTATAATCAATCCAAGATAATCTAAATTTCTTATTATCTAGTATTCTCTTAACTTCCAGATGATCTGGTAATTATTAGTTTTTTGAAAACTCCTATAACTTGTAGTCTGATAATTTGCTTTTTGAATATCTCTCTTTGTACCAATATTATTATAATAATTTCGAACAATTCTATTAATTGACTGTTGTTTACATGACCAACTCCATTATTGAAACAGACTTTGGGTTGATTATCTGAGCTAGATTCTCACACTAGTGATTTAATTCTATTTTCTTTTTTCACTTTTCTAATTTCTATAAACAAGTTTCTGAGGATGAATTGACTCCAGATCCAAAGCATAATTATTTATTGATACTCTCAAATGATTCATAAGTGAAAGATTTTTGTAACCAATTTCACAGTAATCTTCAATTCTTGTGTGAATTCTTGCAGACTTTTATTTGAATTACAAATAACTTTAAATACAACATCTTTTAACATATTAGTCAACGGGCCAATATACAGTTGCAAATCCTTCATTTTTCCAATTCTTAAGTTCAGGATTGATAGGATCTGATAACTCAAAAGACTTCTACATTTCATGGCTCAATAATTTTTGCTTTCTAAATATCTCTCTTTGCACCAATACTATTTCAATAATACCTAACCCCATTACTTATTATATTTTCAAGTTCTACATTAGTAGTTTTGTAAAAACATTTAAATGCTTTATTATACTTTTCTTTATCATTACAATTGGATTTCCTAACTTATCTGCTTTTATATAATATTCGAAAGCCTTTTCTCATCTTTTTTGGCACCAATATCATATCAGTAGTTTCATGATGACAACTAGATTCCTTTATCATTTTATTGCTTAGTTTAACTATATTCAAGAAACCTATGTCGACCTGGACTGGAGTATCATACAAGTTCTTTTACCAATTCTTTTCTTTGCTCACAACTTTCGATAATCTGCTTTCTTAAATACTTTAAAATTTCTTATACTTCTTTAGTATTTACTAACAGTTTTTTTTTTTTGTTTGCCCTGCATAGTACTTATTACCACCCAGTACTAGAGATTATGTAATTTACAGGTGTCTGCGCAGTACTTATTACCACCCAGTACTAGGGATTGTGCATCTTATGGATTTTTAACATTTTTTTTTTAACATTTTCTATTGCTCTGCACAGTATTTATTTACGTCCCAGTACCAGAGATTTATAACTTATGGGTGCCTGCATAGTACTTATTACTGCCCCAGTACTAGGGTATTTATGTGTCTTACAGATCTTTAACAAATTTTTTTTTTTTATGATGGCATTATTAAAACCAACTTTACCTATAACATCTGCTTGTAAAGTCCTCCACATCGTCTCAAGACTAGTGTCAAACTCTCTAAAGTCTCTTATAATCTAACATTGCAAATTATCTTCTTGCACAATATTTTCACTATGTGAATACCTATGAATGAACCACTTCAAGATCTATAGCTATACCGTACAAGATCCTCAATTTAATACCTTTTAATTAAAGTTATCTATGTTGCCTTTTTCATCTGATACTATATGTGCACTCCTCATTTTTTATTATCAATTCGGTTA